CTTCTGGGCAGCTCTTTTGGCGACGTCTTCACCACTGGCGTGCAGCGCCGTGCAGCCGTCTCTACGCAGGACGCGCTAAGAATTGGAGCCAAGTGGAAGTTGGAGTTGTCATCTTTGCGCTAGAGCCAGCAAGGGTTGGGACATCCTCGTCACTCCCCTGCCGCCAAGAACCGGTTCCCACCAGCGGAGCTCCTGAGAGTGGAGGGATCCGCTTAAAATATTCGAGACCTGGGAGCGGGGCCGGATCCGAAGATAACGAATTGATTTTGAACTGGACCCGAAACGAAACGAGACGAAATGGTACCAGGTGGCCGGGCCGCACCGTGATCCAGTTTCCCACCCCGCCGATAACTGACAAGGACCCGGACCGGAGCCGCTCGTTCTCAAAATCCACATAAAGCCCCGTTGCCGATCCCCGTCCCCGGCGCCGTACAGAACTACCACCCGGCATCCGCACTACGGTCACAACAACCTACCATGGCTTCCATTTCCAGTAGGCTCAGCAGCCAGTTCGTGCTATTTGCACACCGGACGGCGCCATGCGCCAGGACTCCAATCCAAGCTTCAGCAACACGTTTCGCCCTGGCCTTCAGCTCCGGCTCCGGCTCCAGCTTCCGCACCGCCCAAACGGCACGCTTCTTTGCCTCCAAGGCTAAGAAGGCAGTAAAGAAGCCAGCACCATCAACCACCACCATCACCACCGTCTCTGCCCCTCCCACCACCGTTCCCGCCTCCTATGCCGAACAGCTAGCCAAGAAGGGCCGGACCCTCCTTTACGAGGCTTCCTCCCACGCCTGGTTCCGCTTCGCCAGCTTCACCACCGGCAGCTTCTGCGTCGCCTACTCGCTCTACAACTATTGGAGCGTCCACCTCAACCCCCCTGACGACCTGCCCACCTGGGTCCCCTATGCCTACGGCGTCATCTGCGCCATGACCATCGGCATGGGCGGCTACTTCTTCATGGGCATGCGGCGGATCGTCCGACACATGGAGGCCGTGCCAGCCTCGCAGGTCGCCTCCCACCTCATCACCGGCGCCGGCGGCGGCGCCGCTTCGGGTGCGACCAAGAAGTCGGCGTCGTCCAAGGGCTGGGCCGAGCTCCTCACCATCAAGCCCAAGGCCGTCCCCGTGACCAGTCCGACCCCGATCTACATCGAGGTCGCCTACAGCCGTGCCATCCCCTTCCTGCCCAACAAGAAGGAGTACTACCACCCTTCCGAGGTCGAGATGCCCTTCCGCATGCAGCTGCTTTGCGAGAAGCTGAACTCCCTAACGGCGCAGAAGGTGGTGGCGAAGAACCTCCCCGCCACCAAGACGGGGCAGATGATTGCCGCAAGCGCAGAAGGTTGCCAGGGAAAAGGAGCGCAAGGAAAGGATGCAGCACCTGCTTACCTTGCCGTTCAGGGACGCGGCCAAGGTCTTCCGTGGGGCGTATGAGGGGCTCAGGAGGTCATTTTATCGTGAGGGCTTTGCTAAGGTCTATCTCAGGGGCGTGGAGTATAAGTTGGATATGACCTCAGGGTGGGCGTTGGATGATGGGAGGGCTATTGATCGGTTGGTTCATGTCAAGCCGAGTGCGAACATCAATGCTCTTTGAGCGGGGCGTACTTGGATGGGATGGTGAGAAGAGAAGGAAGGGAGTTGAGGTAGGTTTTGTAACCCCCGAGGCCTTGAACTTGTAGGATACGATACCATTGTGTAGACTACTGTAGCATATATGTATGATCATAAGCGGATGGTATGGAGTCAGGATGGACAGAAAGAATTGACTTTCGAGTTATAAAGATTGGATGTTTGGAAGTGTGTCCATGTCGTTGCCTTCAGGACCAGACGGCATGTCTTGATTAGCCAGCGCCTTGAGGTATTCGTTCGTTCGTCAAAGCTCGATCACACCTGAACTGTCCGATGGGAGCGTTATATTAGTATCGAAATACTAACAACAATGAGGTTTTTGTTAAACCTACCTACTAAAGTAAACAGTTTCTATATTTAAGCATAATGCGTGACAGGAGAGATGTGCTGGAGTTGTTTTTCCATGTTGGCCATCATGGAAATTGGTTGCCCATACCACAGAAAAAAAGGAACAAGGGAAAAGCAACGAACGGGGGGAAAAAAAGCCAAAAATATCAAGTTTTTGTCAGTCGAGACAAATCAATCCTTTAGTGAACAGAGAAAAAGCAAAAAACATGGGACCTGGGAGGCTCGAACTCCCGACCTCAGGATTACTCTGACGTTAAGCCAGATCATACAGGGTATGAGACCTGCGCGCTAGCCAACTGCGCCAAGGTCCCTTGTTGAGGAAGGGTGCATGAACATATACTTATAGTACACAAGTCTTTGCGTGCAATCTTGCGCGATGAAGACCAATCTCGCACTTTGCAGCAACAGTCATCCTATTGGCTTAAGAAAACAACAATACCAACGACTTTCCACATCACACCCTACTCGAAGCGGAAACCCTTCAATAGAAATAATGATATGTAAAAGTGCAGACTCCCTAGGCATGGCTACTAATATCCTTTGGCATGCAGGCATGCCATAAACCACAAAAAACAACGCTCAGCCGCCTGATTTTTTTTTGGAAACGCACACACTTGGTCGTCACCCCATCCCCTATCCCTTCGGTATGTCTCTTGAAAAAAAAACCAAATAATCACTCTCTGTCTCACCAAACCGCGCTTTCATTTCGCCGACTTCGAATCACCCCTTCCACGCTCCTCCTAGGCCGTGGCGAGAATAGTGTTCACAGTCGCAATCCTATTACGACGCTGTGGAGCAGAGTTCATGTTTCCACTTCCAGCTTGCTGTTGTTGGTCAACAGTGGCAGATTTGGTGACCCCATCATCCATGATCGAATCAGTCTCCCAGCCCTGCCAGCCAGGCCTATCAAATCCGTTTGGCCTTGAGGCACGCTCATGCTGAATCAACAGTCCACCCACCTCGATCGCCTCCCTCGGCCAGCGAATCTCCTTGCCATTGAACCCTTTGCTCTTCGCCTTGAGCATCAACTCCGGCCCAAACAGATGCGGGTACGCGCGCTGCATAGCTTTGAGCGCCTCTCCACTGACCTTGTCGACAGAGTCATAGTGACGCAACTTGAAGAACGGGCCTGCGAACACAGCTCTTAAACGCTCCTGCTCCTGCTGTGGAAGCAGCCCCAGCTTGAGCAAGAAGATGTCGTACTGGCAGAGACTGGTCCGACACATCCACGACCCGCCCTTGGTCTCGCGCTGGTACAGGCCCACCATGGCGGCCACGCAACCCAAAGCGCCGGTGCCGTAGTCTGACATAGGCATGGGCGGCACGCTGGGCTCATTTTCCAGACTCATGAACATTCCCTGAGCCCAGGCGACGCCCGTGACGCAGTCGGCAATCTGCTGCCAGCCGCGGCGGCCGGCCCACTCGGCTCCGGGAACGCCTGTTCCCCCGAAGCAGTCTTCGGCCACGTAGACGAACCCGCGGTTGCCGCGCTGTTGGGCTAGCTTGGCCAGAGATGCCGGGTCGCAGCCAAACTTGGCGAGGGCGCCGGGCCGGTATCCGTCAATGAGAACGTCGGCTTCCGCGAGGAGGTTCTGGAATGTTTTGAGATCTGTCTGGTTGCGAAGGTCCAGATGGGTGGTGTGCTTGCCGGTGTTGACGTCGACTTGGAAGAAAGGGACATCGGGAAGTTTGGGACCGGTCACCTTGAGCACTTGGGCGCCGTGCGCGGCAAGAGAGCGGCCAATGGTCGGACCGGCTATGACGCGGCACATCTCGATGACTTTGATGCCACGCAGGGCGTACTGAGGGCCGTTTGCGGGCACCTTGGGCCAGAAATGACTCTGGAATCCCCCCTCCGTGGGTGTGTGCGGTGGAGTCTCCGGTGCCGACATTTGGGGTGCCTTGATGGCCTCTACGGTGAAAGGAGGCAACGCTGAAATGGCCTTTCCGTGAGACGTTTTGAGGAAGTCTTCCCACTTGAGGGCCTCCACACCAGCTTGTCCGTGCTTGTTATTCATTTCCTCTAGTTCTGCAACGGTAAACTTTTTCACTGCAGCTTCGATTGTGTCAATACACTTCTTGTAGTCGGTCAATTGAGGATTGAAAGGCGGAAGACCGATCATGCGGAGTTGAGTAGTGGCGTCAAGTGAGCCATGAATATGGTAATATCTGCCATTCTCCTTGGTCTCGTAGAGGTTCGCAGAGAGTCGGCGATACTGTATGGACTGAGCCTGGTTGTAGTCGGTGTCTGTGGTCAAGTTAGTGAGGTGTGTCCCAAATACCATGTAGTGCCTAAATTGCTGCATGGAAATTGTAAGAGAAGATGAGTGTCTTACCTGGAATCAAACCCTTCGGAGTCTGTCCCTTGCTCTTGCCGTCAATGGTAGCAAGGTAAGCCGACATTAGGAAGCAGGCCGCCTTGTCGAGATCCACTTTGATCGATCGTGACTTCTTTCCATGATGAAGGTCACCAATGGCAGCAGCAGCACATGCCTCAAGAGCCTTGATGGCTGCTATGACATCTTGCTCTCGGCAAGGACTCGGGAGGTAGACTTGGTCCCCATGGATGGAAGGAGCGAACTTGACGTTGCCGGAATAGGAGCGAAACTCTTTGGGAATTTGACCTTTGCATTGCTTCAAAAGCTCGCCAAAAGCCTCTGATGCGCCAATGGCGACAGAATAGGGTCGAGTAGTTGACTTGTCCATGCTGTTGGATGCTGGGATACCGCCGATGCTCAGAGTACTGGGTCGGGTGGATGAGACACACAGACCGAATATCTGCGAATTATTGCTGAGGAGTTTCTTGGTAAGGAAGGGAGAAAAGAGGAGAGCTCGGAAATTCCTGCAGCCACGGGGTTCTTTTATACACCTGCCGTGCAAAACTTCAAGGTTCCCCAAAGTGAATGGCTAGTGTTCTCTTTGAACTGTCGCTTTCAAGGTCGCTTAAAGGTTACCGAGGAACATTGTTCACCGACCAGTCCCCATGATCATACCATCCCGAGTTATCATCCCTCGGACGAAAGGCAGGCGGGGAAATAACGAGTGAAGGGGATTGTTCCCTTATTCACTCCCCACTCTTGGAAACGTGGTTTGAATCCGGTTGGTCAGTGAAGGGAGCGGACTGGTTAAGGGAAGGGGTGGCAACAGACAAAAGTGAGAGTGAAATGTGATCTTGTCTTGGTCCGATATTATCCCGAGCCCCCAAAACATAACTTACCCGCCATGACCTTATAAAAGTTGCCTCTACTCTTCTTCAAACAGTATTTCTTGTGGTTCATGCCATATCAGACAGAGTTAAGGGAACCGAGTGCTAGGTGAAACAGAAAAGGGGGCGCGGTCAGAAACCGTTCATCCCACCAGCATTCCCAGCTTGTTTCAAGGATATCTCTAGCTACCTAGCCAAACCGGCGAGGCTGATGAGGCGTCCAGAGGTTTGGTGAACATAATGACGTGCCAAATTGGACTAATATGCGTCGACAAAGATTCTGCATAAGACCTGGCTCAGGATACCGTTCCAAGGGCATAATGTCCCGGCAGTTTCATCGGGACCTGGCAGGACATGGGTACCATTGGGGGGTAACTCGGCCGTCTATAAGAGGTTGGACAACATCCTGACCCTCGGTTCCTCGGAACGCCGTCACGAGGTAAGAAGGGCCACGCTACTACGCTGCACCCGACCGGGGGGGGGGGGAAGTTTCTGGGGGGAAGGGAGCGGCAGAGGCTGTTATCTTGTTGGATCTCTTGGGCCGGTTACACGAAAGAATCCCAGCCTACGATGAACGTGCGTGGAGTGTGCTGCACTCCGCACCCATCTACCCGCGCATTGGGGGCTTGAGAGGGATCTCAGACGTGGGGTATCCGTGTGTGATGTCGAGTGTTTGGCCTGTAGGGAGTAGCCGAAGACTTGACTGGTATCTTGCATGCACATTCACCGCATGTTGAACAGTTGAAATCTGGGGGCGGCCCGTGGTAACTTGGATAAGCCACAAGCCTGCTTCGAATAAAGGCATTCCCGAAGGGCTCAGATGCATGTGTGGGAGCTCAACAGCCATGTAACAATGGCTGTCAGCACGTGGTGGTAAAGTTGTTGCCCTTCTGAGCGCCTCTGGAAGGCTGAACAGGGTAAGTCCGGTTACATCTGGCGTAGCAGTTGCACTTTGATATCCAGAAGCCATCCAGAAGGTTGAGTGAGCCGCTCAAAGACAAACATGATTTTGTGTTAGCTCGGCAAGCTTTGAAGTTGGAGGCTTGGGGACGCTTTGCCGGAGCTGAGCTGTGTCACATTCCGTGTTTCCTGACTCCAAGAGGCAACCCGTGAGGACCAATTTCCGCGTCGCAATTAACGAACAGCAAAGGTCCAGCGAACTATTGGCCTCTTGTAAGATGAGAACATGGAACTAGGCTCGAAGGCCCTGTCGACCAGCCCTGGAGTTCCGCATTCAACCTGAGATTACTCTCATGCCTGTCGATCCGACAACGAAGAAGTATCCGAAGTCATGGTAAAAACGACTGATCGACTTTTTTTTCTTTCGCTTTCCGCTGCGAAGTGACCAAGTTCGGATGCCTTCTATTCGCCTCGTCCAAGTGTGACATGAGTGATGAGTGAGACTTGCGTGTCGGCGAGCTAGTTTTACATGGTTAAAGCAGCATAGAGAAGCAGAAGACCGGGGAGACTGGAAGTGATTTGCCAGCTTCCTTCCTTTTCACCGGTCATGCTCTGATGGTATCCATGTTTTGAAGCATGAAAAGGGTGCTAGTAAACAACCAACGTGCATTTATGGTAGGGGTGGTGTCATACTTACGCGTCAGTTCAAGAGTGAGAGAGGTGATCTCGACTTGAACAAGCTCAGGATGAGTTGGATTCTTGGGCTTATCAGGACCTGTTCACAACTATTATCGTAAGCGACCCAACAAGCCCAACCTTGGAGAGTGAGGACGGAATCAGGATTGGGTGTTCCGGCAAAAGTCCAAGAATGGAAAAGCTCATGCGTTCCATCATGAAGTTGGACTTGAACGTGAGGTTACCTAGATGTGGTTGTATGTAGCCGTTAACATGATGTTTAAGCGACTTGCAGGGAAACTGTTAAGGCTAGCATCACCATAATTCTTCTTCGACATGCCGATGCCACTACACCACTACGATAGCACACCTTGATGGCTCTCCTGTCTTTTCTTTTGCTGAGGCAGGAGGAGAAGCTGAAAGTCAGATCTTACTTGCCTCGTGGACATGTGATCATGGTGCGTTGTTGATGATTGGACTGGTGATATTGGGTGCTTGAAGAACTCGAGGACATCCAGGATGTCGTGACTCCAAGAAAGTCAGATGCTCGGGTAAAGGACGAAAAAGGCCAAGAGAAAAGAGCCCGAGTCTAGGTGCATTATCCGATGAAATACAGGGCCTTTCCGTCATCGTTAGGACATCAAAACTCATGCCTGTAGCGCTGGGCTGTTATTGGCAGGTGGCCCCCCCCCCCAGGTATGTTACAGCGGGTGCACAGGGAGCGGAGACAGCACTCAGCCGACCGGCCGGTGGATCTTCTCTCCACTTTCAACCTCACCTCTAGAACTACTCCTTCCATCTCTCTTGAACCTCAATACACTTTCAACTTCAAACTTCAAACCTCAACTTCAACCCGACAACGTATATGGCTGTACCCTCTTCATATCAACGCACAAATACCCTTGGGTACGTACTTTGTGCCTCTTTGATGGATCCTACCTACCTCTCGATGCCAAGAGTCGAACAGAAGAAACGGGTTCAGCCGACGTGATGTATCACGCTGCACAAACTTGCAGTTGCAAGGCGCCAGTGCCGCAACCTACCTTTTGCAAACATGAAAACATCCATGGACTTACCTAGTTGGAGACTGAAAATGGTCGCGGACCTCGATCTGGCCCAGCCTTTACACACCTTACACGGGACGGCCGTCCTGGTCGAGCTGAGAACACAGAAATCGAGGCAACCAGATACCTATGGGATATTCCTTGCGGCCCTGGTCGTATTAATCCCCGGCTGTGTTCCCGAAGCTGACCTCTACACACTCGAAAACAGGCGCGACAGGGGAGCCAGACGAGACAGGATTCCCGAGGCACTTGGAAGCAGTGCTGATTCCGATACGGGCACCGTATTCAACTCTCGCTTATGACCAAAAAAACAAAAGTGATGAGGAAGGCATGTCCGTGGTGTGGCGCTGATGGCATTGGCCGTCTCTGAATGGACGCCACAGGCAAGCCTCCCTGTCGTCAGGCTCAGGGTCCCCAGTGCCATTATTTCTCCGTCATCCAATACCAAGGCTTCCGCTTGGTGCCTCACCGTCAAGCACACAGACATGCGTGACGGTGGCCGGGGACCTAGGACATGTTCGGTCTATCTGCTGTACAACTTGCTGTACGTATTTACAGAAGGCACTGCGACCTCGGTACAGCAGTCATCGGAGCATGGAGCTATTTGAGTGCTCTGCACGGCGTCATGGACCATGGTTTATTGACACAGATTATACAGAGCACGGGAGCAAAAGGTTATCCTGGTGCGGCCTTCTAGCAAAGCTGTCGCTCTATCGACTAGGATTCTCGACATCTGGACGCTTCCCGTATTTGATTGCAATATCCGCAAGGTAGTGCTGCAGCTGCCACCCTAGTCGTCCATTCGGCTGCACCTGTTATGCTGTACCTTCTCCTCCGTGTGTTCACGTCCGAATCGTGCCCAACTGAGCCGGCTTTCTCGTCACTGTCTACCTAACAAGGCCTATGCGAGCACTTGTTGGGTTTGGGTATCCTTGGGCGCAAAGCAACAGAACCGAGTTCGAGGTACATCGACAAACCACAGATCGATTTATCCACCTTACGACATACGAACCATTGACAGTACGAGACGGCAAACAGACACTTGACACTTGGAGCCGAGTCCCTCTCTTCCCATCGCCTCTTCGTGTCTTCCCCGCCCCCTACCCGATGCTTTTGTCTCGCTTTTCCTTCATCATCCAACAAATCTCACCCTGCTCCCGATTCTGGCTTCGTTGCTGATCACGGCTCCATGTTGCGTGACACGTTCTAGGTGTTATATCGTGGATCAAGCTATCTGAACAAAGCAACTAGGCTCTAGACGACGACAAGTCCAAATTGATCACCCGGCCCGGCCACGGCGTATCGGATCGTGTCACCAGCCTCCGGTACCAGAACCTGTCTTCGCGAGCTCCAATAACCCTTCAACCCCAGGAAAACCCTACATACGCTGATACGCATCTCCCGATCATCTTCGCTCCACTCCCGGCTCTGCTACCGGGGTGTCCACCCGTGCATCATCCGCTCCGTTACCCAACGACCACCGCGCCGCTTCCGCTTCCGATACCAGTCGAGGCCCAGTATCCGCAACTTCCCTTGAACCCCCGCTCCGCCCTCCGGTCTGTCGCACGTTGTGCGCTTTCTCGCCTTTATCCCGTTTCAGAAAGAGTCTTTACCACCCGACCAAGGGATGATTGTGCTTATCACTCTATAAACTCACTTCGTCATGACGCGACCAAAAAGTGCCTGACGACAAGTCAGCGCACAGCTCAAGCCTGTGACTCTTGCAAACGGCGGAAGCAAAAGGTTCGTTGTTTGTTTAGCTTGTCCTGTCTATCTTCACGCAATCTCTGTGCCCTATGGTTCAAGAGGCTGAGATTTCCGATTTCGTTCATGTTGCTTGCCGGATCATTGTCTGTCCCAAGCCATGAATTTCCTTACAAGCATCCTACTCTCGGGTATTAGATACCGTCCTGGGTGCCACAGACCCATAGCAGCACCCTTATCATTTAGCCTCCTGGGTCAGCCTTACTCCGTATGCGGTTGGGACACAACATCCTCTTATCTTTCTGGGTCTTTGTGGGTTCTGATGGATACTGTCGCTTCCCAGACTCTTACTCAAGCACTCTATTTATTCGCGATCTCCCCGTCTCTTTCAAGTTTTCCCCTGCATGGAGCCCAACGTACACTGAAAAGCAACCCCTCGAGCATGCACTAATACGATTCTTCGGCAGTGCAATGGTCAAAAACCCTGTCAGACTTGTGTGAAGAGAAGATTGAACTGCTCTTACACGCCAAACAGCGCCTCAGAGAACGGCGCAGGCGAAACCATTGGGTCTCCTACTAGACGGAGGCCGACGGAAACTTCACCGCAAGCAATCCCAGCCGCGCTGGACGGCTCCACAAGGTCTCCGACCAATATCGGGAGTACTGATTTTAATCGGCCTTGGGATGACGTGCGGAGTCGGGGTCTGAAAAGGGAAGAATCTTCCATGTCCGGCCTGGCGGCGCCGCTGTCCTCAGCTTCGCTCGAGCATCCTGGAAAAACGTCCTCTTACAGCTCGGATAATGTTTCTGGCCGAAGCAGCACATACGGACAAGCAGAGGAAGCAACTATCTATACCGAAACCAGGATGTTACAGGATCAGACGGGTCGACTCCGTAGGTTTACTCATTTAACATTTGGATTTTGCAACGCTGACAGTTCCTAGTCTATATCGGGGACTCATCTACTCTCTCCATCCTACAGTTGATCCGCATCATCGTCGAGAGCACTGCGGGGCCTATCCTAGGGTCCACCTTTATTCATGATCCGAAGCGGCACCGTATCATGGAAAACATTATTGATTTCCCAGAAAATACCAAGGTTCCATGCTTCCTGCCGGACAGAGAAACAGCGCAAGTTCTGGTTGAGTCGTACTTTACGAATGTGGGTAGCGATGCTTGTCAGTTTGAGTTGTTGCTAACTGGGATTGTTAGACACGGGGCTTGATCGAAGTTTTTGACAAGTCATCATTTTGCGAAAGTGTCGAAATGATCTACGCTGATCCCCTATCTGCCAGTACATATTCGACATGCCACCTTTTCCTTGTGCTCGCACTGGGATTGCTTCTTTCAGCCCCTCAGCCAGGGAGCCGCGAAGACGAGATCGTCAAGAAGCTGTACAGCACAAAGCAGGATATGGCAGAACTCTTCTTCCGAAGTGCCAAATCCATGTGTGATCCCGAATACGGGTTCGAAGATGCCGACTTCTGGTCTATCCAAGCACTTTGCCTGATGACTGTGTACATGCTCACGGTTTCCAAACGAAATACCGCCTATGCATACCTGGGTGAGATTCCCCTGGATTTGACCCCAAGCCGGATCATAAGGTTGACAAATCAATAACAGGCATGGCTGTTCGGTCTGCCTATGCCCTAGGCCTCCATCGAGAGGAGACGATGCATCCGCTCATTTATCCGGAATCGACGCAAAGGGAGGTGAGACGGAACCTATGGAAGACGTTATTCATCCTCGACAGGTTCCTAGCCGCGTCTCTTGGAAGACCCGTTGCCATTGTTGAAGATGATTGCTCATGCAAGCTTACTATTAATGATGACATCGCCGACTTATCAACCGTAGGGGAAAACGGATCCGAGTCACTACACTTTGGATGCCTCGATGCCTGTGTTAAATCATGCCGCGTCATTGGCGTAACACTCCGTGTGTTTTCGAAGCGGAAGATTTCCACCGCGGTCGTCCAGGATATTGCAAACATGGCCAAATATTGGAGGCGGCCCTCACTCTCAAACTTGACGCCGCAGCAATCACGTGAAGGTCCGACAAGCCCAGAGCAGGGTATAGCTGCTCTCCACGCCAATCTCCTGTCATTGCACTCCCTTATTCTTCTGACCAGGCAGATATTCATCATGCACAACTGGAAACTCGACCAGCAACGCTCTGGAAAGGCGAACCCACCCTCGAACCGAGAGTCACATATGGTCAAGTTCTCCGAAGCCTGTGTTGTGGCATCTTACCAGACTATCCACTTGATACAACAAGCCAGGGAGGATGGGTATCTCCCACGAAGAAATCCGTTCATCATGTATGTCAAAATCCGTTTTGATCCTTAATGATACCCTCGAATCTTACCTGACATGCCTCAGATATTTCCTCTTCGCTGCGAGCCTTATCGTGCTAATGAATCAGTTTGCCTCACTGTACTACGCCGATAAATATATCAAGACCATTACCGACGCGATTTCGACCATGAAGTACTGTGCAGAGATTGACCCACAAGCGGAGAGGGTTCTCGAGATAATGGAACGCTTTGCACAAGTGGTTGAAACCTGGACCAAGGACCACTCATATTCCGCCCCAGTGCTGTCAGCGGACCTTAGCTGCCTCTATGCCAAATCATCCAGTTCTCGCATGTCACGGGAGAATGGCAGCTCAGCTCCGAGTGTCCCCAGCCCTTTGGACCCAGCAGGCTCAAGAATAGGCAGCATTTCACACCAGCCTCCTATGACCTCACCACCCCTTCCGCGGCCACAGAAAGCATCCGAAGTTTTTATCCCGACCCCTTCAACCACCGTCCCGGAAGTGATCATGAACGGAATGTCTGCAGTATCGTCGACCACTCCACCTATGGCACCTCCACTCGCCCTACGCCCTGGCCATATCACTCACTCCCCCCCTGACGTATCTGACGAGTGGCAATTTGACGACATCTGGAACAACTGGCTACAGCCCGCGCCGCACGTTTCAGCAGCACCTGAACTGGTTCATTTCGCCCCACAGTTTCTTCCCCCGAGCACAGCGGGCTCGTCCGATCCATACGTATCATATCCTCTTCGGGTGGATCCACATCCACATATACCACCGTCAGGAATCCGTGGCAGCGTGCCAATCTTTCACATGTCAAATATGGGTTAACATCATCACAACGATGTGACTTCGCTGGGATACCCGAGATCTTGCGGCCTCTCCGGCTCTGCGAATGCGACACTAGCCATGGTTTAAGCTGAATTTACCAGAAGTCAACTCACGAAAGGAGACAGGGTCCTCCTATGCTTATGTCCATTAATGAGTGGAAAGACGGGTTGATTATGATTCTACTGAAAAGTGTCCAAGGTCTTTCGCCAAACAAGCAACACTGAACACACGATCAACTACGCCCAGCGGGGCGATCGTAATATTGCCTTTCAAAGCTCTATATCATTCTGTCGAATCATCCGCCTCCTCTGCTCCGATAAAGCCCTAATTCTCCCTACCCAAAACGAAATCATACTCGAGATACCAGCGTGCCTTGGGGTCTCCCTTACGGGGCAAGAACTTGACCACCAACTCATCCTTCACTGCGAAAACCGCATCCTGTGTCAGATACTTATCCCTGTCATCGAAGATCTGTGTCGTCAGCGCGCGATGCTGCGGTGCCGAAACGATGAAGTGGATATGACCCGGCCTGTTCGGGTCCCGATCCAGCAACGTCAGGAACCTGCCAGCGGGACCATCAGACGGAATCGGATAAGAAGTCGGGCGCAGCGCATAAAACGCAAAACGGCCGTCTCGGTCAGTCTCAAACCGACCCCTCAGGTTCATCTCGGTCTGGGAATTGTCCTGCTGCTCGTACAGCCCGTTCGGGGCGGCAAGCCAGGTGTCGACGATAGCATTGGCGATGGGCTTACCGCCGGTGGACAGGACCCGGCCTGTGATGTAGGCCGAGTCGGCAATGGCTTGGCTGTACCAAGGTGTCGCGGGCGTCAGGTTTTTGACGATGGAGCTACCGTTCGGTAGAAGAGGCGCGTCGTGCCTGTAGAACGGACCTAGGACTGCAGATGGCGTGCCGGCGTTGGAACTAGCGAGCATGTTCGAGGTAATCTCGTCGACCAAGGACTCGAGACCGAGAATGTCACAGAGAAGCTGCGTTTCGTTGCGTCGGTCGTTGGAGATTTGGCCGCACTCGTTGAGCTGAGGAGCGTTGGTCAGAAAAACCCGCCAAAATGGCGAACAGGACTCGTCAGAAATCACGTACCATGTCAACAGCAGCCATCCACTCCGGGACTGTCAGGTTGACTTCTCGTGCGAACTCGTGGAGATGCCGTACAAGACTGGGCATGATTTGAGCCAATCTTGGATGCGCCTTCGGCCCCGTGGCCGCAATGACCTGGTCAATGAGAGACTGGCCCTCTTTGGCCGATGTGGGCTGAACCTCTTCAGGGGCCTGGTCGTCGGGGAAGGTGATACCCATCCTCAGGTTCAAAGTGGCGTCTTTGCCGATAACAACGTTCTCCATGGTGGCGGTATTGGGGCTTCTGGCAATGCAAACTCTCGGGTTCGATGTCAAACGATATTGGCAATACTGAAGATGTCGACCGATCTCGCGGAACGATATATGATGTTCAAAGTTGACAGGAAGGTCTCACATCCACAAGAACACCAGTACGACGAGAAAGTACTAAGAAGGTGTAGGCGCACTTTTTATATCCAACGGCTCAGACCTTTGTGTGATGATTGTTTGTTCGGCTCGTCGTGCCAGGATTATCGGATGGACGGGGACGGCTGGAGTGAAACGAAGAAATTAATCGGCCCCAGCATCCATTCGTGAGGGACACATCATGGGCTTTGTCTTTCTTCCCATCTACCCAGCTTCACACAAAGAACAGCCTTTGCCCATGTTCATCCCATCGATTGTCACACATTGGAAACCCATTAGCTCGAATAACAACAACTCGAAACGCACCCTTCCGAACTCTCATTCCGGCAACTCGCGAGCGAGGGCATAATATTCAACGATTGCGATAAGTCGACCAACCAGAAGAGCATACACAGAAACGATTTCCCTGTAGTGTCCCGTTCAACGACAGCAGTTGGTGCGGGAAAGCGGGAGAAATTGAGTTTGTGCGCTTGGAAGCATGCCGTGTCGGTACACAAACACAAGACTTCCATGCGTGGCGGTCGGTTGTCCCAAACTGGCGGGTGCGAGATATCTTCACTAATCGCAAATATCGAAATGACGATCTGGCGGCCTCGTCGACAGCTGCACGGGGGTGGTCACTGGCCAAAAAAAAAGAGAGAAAAAAAGTACCGAAAGCCACATGAAGAAAACAATCGGTGTTCCCGGGGCCTTGAAACAAAAGTCGAAAATCAGGGGGCCATGTTTTTCTCTTCCAGAAGGGCTGGTCGATTGCTGGCGTTGCTATGCAAGGTCCCACAACATCCCGCAGGTTACAGGGAGGAATTCGGCCGTTGGGTCGGTATGCCAACGGTTCATTGAAGGCAAGCAACCATTCACCACTGCCGTTGCTGGGCAATCATCCAGGGTGGTGTTTTGAAGCTTCGAACGAACCCCTGTCACCTGGCAAGGTGCTGAAAAAAAAGCAATCATGTGTGATGCCGTTCATGTGGGATGCGGCGGCTCTTGGTGATGGTATGTTCTGCTCCTGTTCTCGGTTGCTGTTTTTGTGTCTTCTTCAGGCCGCTTTCACTGGCGGTCTTGGAGATCCATGTCGAAGATGGAACTGAACGACGAGGGTGCTTCTCGCTTTTTTACTCCCGAGTTCTCATGGCAGATCAATCATCTACTGTGATGATTATCAACCAAGGATATCACATACTGTCCAGGTTTTGGCATTTGCTCAAAACAAAGCAAAGGTACTGCGCCGATAGTACTTGAGTGGCATCTCACAACAGGAAAGCGGCAAAGCACTCCATCGCCAATGGTTCTGAATAACCTTATTGATCCAATGGCTGACAGGATCAAGATGCTGCCTACTGGTGGAGATAAACACTAAACGACGGGTGGCTGGGTACGAGAAGAAGAAGAAGACAAGTCGTGCTATGAGAGCGGCATTAAGCATGGGAGGCGGGTGATATGCCCCGTGTTGCGGGTACCGGACGCGGAGGCTGACTGGGGAACAGCAAGCACGGTGGTGATGATAAGGGGGTCCTCATACATATATGCGGCTCGGCTGGAAAATCATGGCTGACTGGAGCAGTGGAAAACATGTTGTTGCACAAACATTTGGGGACGAAGTTGTAGGCGGAAAGGGCGGATGGGTGGCTATAGTGACTTAATTTTGTACATACCGAGGCTGGACCTTGACCTGACTATTATCTTGAAAATCCGAATTAACCGTTGCTAAAAGTGTACTGTCTAGCAAGAGAAGGTCTTGCTGCGGATAGCGAACGCGAGATGCTGTTGATGAGCAGCGTGATGACCAGCCTCTTGTTCAGCAATCTGATTCGCAAAGACGAACTCTTGTATGTATGGGTGGGATACTGTTGCTCGCAGAGCGCGGCAGGTACACTCGTCCAGGTTCCATACTTGACCTTATCCCCGCTCACCTTCCCTCTCTTCCTCCCCCAGCCGGCCGGCAGCTGCTCCCTCCATCCCATCTCATCCCCTACCTCTTACCTGCCAACCAGCCAGCCGCTCGTTCCAGTTTCAATCTCCAAAGGGATCGTATAAGCTCCCGCACCGTCCGGTTTCGAGTTCGACTCCCGGATGGGGCTTTAGAAAAATGAAATATCGTGAGGTTCTTCCTATCGCCGTTCAGGAATTTGGGGAAGAACAAAAGCCGATAGCGTGCGTTCCACGAGTGCGCGGGACTTTGTATACCCTAGCCAGGCACTACTGCGCCCTGAAGTTGAACAAATAATTGATTGTTCTAATACATTGGCATCCCCTTTTTTTGAGGAGGGCTTTTTCCCCCCTCAAACATTTTGATTAAGTCTGCAGTGTTACAAAATCGTAATCTACTTGCCTCTCTACCCAGACCCTCCTCCTCCTTTTCCTCCTCCTCCTCCAAGAGCCCAAACCCTCGGCCCAAAGATCTCTCCCTCCTTTACCGTCGCCCTAACCGCCATTCCCTTAAAGTCCAACGTGCCCTTGACCACCTCATTCCCCCACCAGCTTGGCGGGCTAATCTCATTAATCGTAAATGCAAAGAAAACAACCAGCGTGGCGAGCGCCAACCCCAAATCCAACCCGCAGCTCGTCAAGAAATTCAACCTGCTCCACCACCCAAAGTGCTTCTTCCTCACCACGTACTGGAACACATACCCGACGATGCCCCAACTCAAATAGTTCAGCGGACTAGCAGGCGGGATCGAGCCCGCGCCGCCAAAGATGACGGGGGCAATGACATAGCGCAACCACGTCTTCGTATGCGGATTCCGCCTCTGCGCACGGCGGAGGAGGAACCAGATAACCAACGGCACGACGGCTCCCAGGGCAAAGAACAAGAACAGCGAGGAGTAGATCTGGCCCGGGGAGAACATCCTTGCCGGACCTATCAGTCCCCAGATGACGCTTGCGGAGAAAAAGACGCGACCGCCGGGACAGGTGAAGTGTTGAGGTTGCGCGGGGGTGCAGACTTCGGGAATGGTGCGGAGGGCGTAGTTGAGCACGAGGATCTGGATCACGCACGAGAAGGTGGTGGCGACGACTTGGGCGGAGAAGAGGACGCGAGGGGGTAACTTCATGTAGTGGCCGAACTTGAGGTCGCCGACGAAGGTGAGGGCTTGGGACATGGTTATGTAGCCGAAGGTTTTGAAGCTATTGTTTGGGGGAGAGGGTTTGGTTAGTACGATGGGTGAGGTTAAGGATATAGAGGGTGAGGAGGAAGGAAGGAAGGAAGAGGAAGAAGGAAGAAGGGGAAGGGGGGAGGAGCTCTTACATCATGAGTGCCAGGGGGCGGCCGGGCTGAATGTACCCTAAATTACGAACTCGGTCAACACGTTGAGGCCAATTTGGTTATTGGTGACGGCTTGGATGATGCCGATGGGGAGGGAGAAGGCGAAGGAAATGAAGACGGCGAGGAGGAAGGCCCACCAGGTCAGGTTGGTTTGCCAGCCTAGAACGGTGAAGAAACCTAGGGCGAGCATCTAGTTCGATGCATTACTGGTTAGTTCGAGGTTTTGGTCTGTGAGGAGAAACAGAGTACTGACCACTGCAAAGAGCGACATATACCACCATGTTGGGGCCTCCTTGTACTTCCTCATCATCCTCATATGTACATCGGGCCTCTCACTTTTGCTGTTCATCCATTGTCTCCAGATTGTCTTTCCATGATGAAGGCAGGTGTACACGATCAATGAAGATATGGCGGCAAAGGATAGACCATATGCTATGGCGAAGGTGGTACTATTGTTTGCAATTAGACCATGGCTCTTGAAATGAACAAAATACAAAGCCGACATACCTTAAGAATAGAGGCGAGTAAGTGTTATATGCCACTTCGTTGAGCGTGAAGTCCTTGCTAAGAACTCTCGCGACATCGTATGTCTTGCCCGTATTGTCATAGACACTGGAATCGCTCATTGGCAGGTACTTGCCGTACCACGCCCCGGTGTACTGCAGAAAGCTGGCAGCAAACATGAAAAATATCACTACGCCGGCCAGGGTATTGGCAATGGCGTGCCTGTCTGAAGTGTTAACATTGCTTGATACCTATAGAGTCGACGGAGTGGTGGCATTTGATCTTACCATGGAGGCACCATAGGCGAGCCAACATATCCCGTAATCTGCGCCCAATCGAACGTAATAGGAAGCAGGGAGAGGCCCGTCGAGTAACCAAACAGCTGGTTGACGACAGGATTGTTCGGTGCTATCCAAGTCACAACGGCGAAGGAGCTGAGGAACTGAGCGAAGAATCCGGGGATGAAGTAGTAAAAAAAAGGAGCCGAGGGTGATGTAGGCAAACCACCTGTACCGGGGGATGGAGCCACCCATTATTGTGGGATCCTTCTTCTCGTTCTGGCCGTACATGGCGTGCATCAATGTAACTGCCACAAGGTTTCCTGGCCAGATCATGGAAGCTGGGTAGACTAGATAGATAAAAGTCAAGTTAGTGAGTGATGTGTGGTACTGAGCCGGTGACAAACTTACCCAGAAACCTTCTCAGCATTCCAGCAATCCCATAGCCCAAACTTTGTGTGGATATCGTCAGAAGAACCCCCCATAACAGGCCGAAGTCCTGCTTATAAAACACCTTTTGGGCTAAGATGATGTCGGTAGCGTAGGCCACGGAAAAGGAGACACTGGCCATAACAACAATGACGGAATGTTCCTTGATGTTGAAAGGCCCCGGGTTCAAAGTCCACCTTTTACCAAACGTGTTGAACTCACGTTCGGGCATAAACCTCGCCCAGCCATGTCCCAGCGGCCACGCGATAATCTGGGCAATGAGTGCCCCAAGACTAATGGATGGTGCTTTCAATGAGAAGATGGTATTCATTGAAGCCCCCAAGAAAATGAGCGACAACCCAATGGTCCACGCCCTAATGGTGTTGCATGGCAGGTCTTGATCAAAGTTGGGAACGGCAGCCCGGACTTCTGGATAGGGTGAGTTCTCAGCTTCTTCCTCGTCGTCCTCGCCCTCACTCTCGCCGAACTTGACCCCTACTTGATTGTCGTCAAAGCTGAGTGACTTTCTCGTGAGATCTCGAAGTTTATGGCTATATTCGGCAGGCAAGTTTGGGTCCAGAAGAAGCTCATACTCGGAACCGTCTTCGTCATCGGCGCCGTGGGAGTCCTGTCTGCGATGTTGACCTGACTGGGAGGGACCGGGTGCGTCATTCCAAGAGGAAGAGGGTGCTCCGATATGTTCCTCGCCTGCCTCCAAGTCGCCCGACTTCCGACCGCTCATAGATGTCCTTCTGTCTTTCAGTTCGACAGCTTCCATGCCGTCTATTGAAGCACCGGAGGATCGGAGATTGGAATAGGAGGCCATTGCTGGGGGTATCGCTCAAGTGAGCTTGAGAGATGTTATCGGCTCAGTGCTTTCGAAACTATCATTTCCGGACCCTGGGTTTGTATCAACTAATCGACTCGATCTGGGTGTCTTGATAGGGATCCTGGTTGGTAGGTAATTGTGAAGTATCGTTGAAAGCGTCAAGTTATGCAGAAGAGGTCAAAGGGTCCAAGCTGCAGCGTTGTCACGAAGGGTCAGGGTTGGCACATGTGGATCGGGCTGCTTCTCTCTTATTCAGCCCTATACACGTCCTTTTGCAGTCTCGTGTAAGTGGGAAGCTTGAAGATAGCTTGAATCCAAGACAACAGATACACGATGGATACCGGACAAACATTTCTAGATTGGGTACCTTTGATGGAAATGGTAAGGTGGCTTTTTGAGATCGCCAGGCGGCGCTCCTTTCCTTTGTTCTCGTCGTCTGGTCCAATGTCAACAACCCCTGTATTTCAGGGAGCTGACGGAGCTGAAATACTGAAAGGTGGTCCGAAACAGGTGTGCATAAAAGCAACGCTAAGCCTTGTACAGCAGTATACCTACGTATCGAAAGCTGAACCCTGCAACCTTTTTGACGTCGCCGCTTTCTCTTCACTTTGTGCATATTCACATATCAAGACATATCACCAACATCACTCACCCATCTTCCGCCACGCAGTTGTCTTTCACCACAACTGCCAGTTGGCACCTCTTTCTTAACCCCCTCCCTAACCAAAAGAACATGGAAAGATAATGAGACGAGTGGTAGTGACAGGCCTTGGTGCCATCACTCCCTTGGCCGTCGGCGTCCGCCCCACCTGGCGCCGGCTCTTGGACTCTCACTCGGGCATCGTCAGCGTCGCCGACCTCGAGCCCCAGGACAAGTGGAAAGAACTCACCAGCACTGTGGCTGGGCTTGTTCCCACAGCTTCAAGGAACAAGCAGAATGTTTCCGAGGAGAACACTTGGAAGGCCGCGGACTGGCTAGAACCGTCAGACCAGAGACGCATGTCTCTCTTTGCCCAGTATTCTGTTGCCGCCACCGAGATGGCCCTGCAAGATGCTGGATGGAAGCCCACGAGGCAGGAAGACCTTGAAGCTACAGGTGTCTGCATGGGAAGCGGAATCGGCAACTTGGATGACTTTTACAGCACCAGTGTCACGTACGACAAAGAGGTAAGAGCACCAGCTCGACCTTTGATCGGACCTGATCTGAGGCTAACATTCTTAATGTAGGGCTACAAAAAGGTCTCCCCTCTCTTCGTCCCCAAGATCCTCATCAACCTCGGTGCCGGCCACGTCGCCATGCGCTATGGTTTCCGCGGACCCAACCACTCCGCCACCACCGCTTGCACCACTGGCGCTCACTCCATCGGTGACGCCTCCCGCTTCATTGCCTTTGGCGATGCCGATGTCATGGTCGCCGGCGGCTCTGAGTCCTGTATCCACCCGCTAACTTTCGCTGGCTTTGGCCGGTCCCGCTCACTGTCTACCGCATATAACCATGATCCGACATCCGCCTGCCGACCCTTCGACAAGGACCGCGCCGGCTTTGTGGTGTCTGAGGGAGCTGCTGTGCTTATTCTGGAGGAGCTCGAGCACGCCAAGAGGCGCGGTGCTAGGATCTTGGCCGAGCTGAAGGGATATGGATGCAGTGGTGATGCACACCACATGACGGCACCGAGGGATGATGGTTCAGGAGCGTTCCTGTCTATGAAGAGGGCACTCAAGAACGCGGGTGTGAAGCCGGTGGAGGTGGACTATATCAATGCCCATGCTACGGGAACGGCTGTGGGGGATGCGGCGGAGGCGATTGCCATTCAGTCGCTGATGATGAGCGAAGAAGGAGTGGACAATGAATCCAAAATCACGGTTAGCAGCACCAAAGGAGCGATTGGCCATCTCCTTGGTGCGGCGGGAGCCATTGAGTCTGTCTTTTCGGTTTTGGCCATTGCTGAGGTAAGTGTTCTGAAAGCAGTGTTATTGTTTCCTTTGCTAACCTGTGAACCCAGGGGGCGATACCACCTACTCTCAACTTGACCAATCCCAACGTTGGTGTCGGCTTCAACTTTGTCCCTTTCGAAGCGCAACAAAAGGAAGTCAAGGTGACCATGTCCAACAGCTTTGGTTTCGGGGGCACCAATGCCTCCCTGGTCTTCTCAAAATTCGAGTAATGGCCTTGGCTCTGGGGGAAAATTCTAGGATAAGGGCTTTGTGCCAGGCTTTCCTCTTACTGTTATTTATTTGTATCACTACCACATGGCTAGGGCGTAAGATTTCCGGATAGAATCTCACAGAACGGATGAAGCTCACGCATTGCATATAGAGGCCGGAAAGCTCCAATGTATAGACATGTTTGATCCATGACACAACCTCAGATACGCAAACTCCCTACTTCTCAACATCACCTTGCAAAACAATGTCGAAAGGAAGGAAACATACCTAGGGAGTAGTTAGGCTGGAGGAGTCGAACTCTTGTCCGGTCTACTGAGGCCTTACCAAGGGTTAGGGTTGCTTAGAGCAAACTGAACAAAGCCCCTTCTACAAGTCTGAAGAATGTCACAAAGGTTTCGAAATTCAAAAAAAAAAAAACAAGTCGGTATGCTACTGAAGTTCGGTAGTTGAGCTATTTCCATACATGAGCCTTATCCTTTGGGCTTTACCAACGAATGCAATGTCAACGGGCAGGACAAGACCGTAGCAAAGGACTGGATGGGCACGATCTAACCCTAACCCTGCGCAACCACTAGCAGACATTTTCGGTTTGGGGAGCTTTGTCCATCAGAAGCTCCAGTTCACCATGACGGCATAATGCGAAAGTGAAGAACCATCCCGTCCACCTTTCGAGATCCCGGAACTGCTGCCGAATCCACCAACCTCCAAGCCCCCCAAGACAAGCACCGATTCCCATCAGCTTTTCTGGCCCGAGCAACATATCACCGACGACTAATGGCTTGCCCCAGCTGCAGATCCGGCCTCGGCCGCGCCGCATCGACGACCTTGCGCCAGGGTCTCTTTGTCGAAACCACCATCGCCGGCACCACTCCCCTCGCCTTGCGCGCCGCCCTATCTTCCTCCCAGTCCAGCATCACCACCGCCAGCAGCAGCAGCAGCAGGAGAAGCACGAACCTCCTCTCACAACAATCCCGACGGATACACACAACGCGCCAATGCCGGGCTGAAGGCGGCGAGAGCAGCGGCGGCGGCGGCTTGGCCGGTGGCTTCCGCAAGCTTCTCGCATCCGTTGCTGGCAACCAGAGCGCATCCTACATCGCCTATGGCGCTACCCAGCGCATCTACAAGGACTGCGCCAAGCAGGCCGACTACACCATCAGCCCCGAGGACAGGAAAGCCGGAAAGGTCAAGGAAACGGCGGATGGCGAAGAGATTGGTGTTGGTAACGGAAGCATTTGGCACGAGGGTACGTACAGTTCGCTTGGTGGTTCAAGTCCCGGACGAACATCACACGCAGTTACAACCAAGCCAAGCAAAGTAAGGAAAAAAAAGAGGAAAAAAAGCTAACCACTTCTGATTTGACAGAATTCGGCCTCCTCCCGACCTTCTCGACCTGGGCCCACGTAACCATGCTCCACCTCTACCTCGTTGTCGTCCGCCTGCGCTGCCTCGACAAGGACGCCCACGCCACCTGGCAGGCCCAGCTAGTCGACCACTTCTTCCACCAGGCCGAGGAGAAGATGGACCGCACCCACGACATGTCGTCGCGCGTCATGCGCCAGCGCTACCTCCAGGACCTTTTCGTGCAGTGGCGCGGCGTCGTCATGGCCTACGACGAAGGTCTCGTCAAGGGTGACGCCGTCCTCGCTGCCGCCGTGTGGCGCAACCTGTTCAAGGCCCGCGAGGATATCGATGCCAGAACGCTGGCTGCTATTGTTAGTTGGGTGCGCAGCCAGTTGAAATACCTCGATTCCATGGACGATGCGGGTCTGGCGCTTCACCCTACCTTGTTCAAGAATAAGGCGGATACTGAGTTGGCGGTGGTGGACGAGCTGGTCCCGGCGTTGGAGGGGCAGACGAGTAAGGGTGCGGCGGCCGGACAGGCTGAGGTGAAGGCGGCGCCGGTAACAGGTCAGAAGGGCGATTCCAAGGGTGCCCAGAAGCCGAAGGCGGCCCCCAAGTTCAAGACCGCTGCCTAAAGCTGGGGATATTACAATAAGAGGGGGATGTTGGGGTGGTGAAGAGTGAGAGACTGTACATATATACCTTGTATCATAGCAGCATATCGGGAGTTCTCCAAGAAAAGGGAGGTAAAGGTGGGATGGATCAACAGGATGGATGGCCACATGTGTAAAAAGGGATCTAAAAGTGCTACCAAAAAAAGCACAGGATGTATATACCACTCATAGTTTGGGGAATCAAAAATGGGCTCAACGTAAACTCGCTCGTCTGTTTCCTGTTCCCACAACCCCTCCTCAGCATTCTCCTCTTCCCCTTCTAACAACCACCGTCACTTTTTCTCTCACCCCAACCTACCTCCTCTCCCACATCTGAAATTCATACTCCGTCGCATTCTCAACCTGCACAGCTCCAGGAACCTCCTCACCCACAAACTCATCCAACTCCGCCTTGCTCTTCCTCACCCATTCCGATCCCTCCTGCTGTTCCTTCAACTCCAAAGGAAAGAACGTATCACACTCAAACTCCGGACTCAACACCCTCGTCAACAGAATCCGCTTGCTCACCTCCTTGGGCAGCTCCAGCGCCGCGCCGTAGATTTGTCCGCCGCCGATGACAAAGACCTTTCCCACTTTTTGTTCCTGTTGTTCTTGTTGCTGCTGGCGAAGGTAGTTGATAGCTTGTTCCAGGGAAGAGGCCATGACCGGTCCTTCTTCACTTTCAAGCTTTCCTTCTGAGAGGGATGGGACAGCAGAGGTGACAGAGCGGCTGATGACGATGTTCAGACGACCCTTTAAGGGACGGAACTTGGGCGGGATGGAGTCCCAGGTTTTGCGGCCCATGATTACGGCGTTGAGGGCTTTGGTGCCGGTGAGCTGCGATATGGACTTAGTTTTTCGTTCGGTTGGCGCTACACATAAATAAATAAAAAATAAATAAAAGTAGGAAGGATATTTACCTGACTGGGCAATCTCTTCGTTACGCGAGCGAAGTAGGCCATTTCCTTCTTGAGACCAGTCCATGGAAGACCGCCGTTGAGGCCGATTCCCATGTCGCGCGTGGCGGCGAGGACGAGCGTGAGCTCGATCGAGGGGAGGATGGCTGACATTTTCTTTTTTGTGTCTTTGTTCCCCAGCCTGCATAAATGTCAGGAAACCGTCGAAAACGGAAAGGGATGTGATTTAATTGGGTATTGATAGGGCTTACTTGCTGGATGTTGTGTTCTCGCTGGATGCGATACTGTCACAGCCTTGTTGTGAGTCAGTTGTAAACTGCCCTTGCCGTTGCCCGGGTGAAGAAGCGATGCTGAACAATGTGGTGAAAAGTGGGGCGTCTTGGTGTTGAATGTTTCACTCCCGTCGCCTCCAGACTCTGACTTCTAAAAATTTCACTGCTTCGCGATATTCGAGGAACAAAGGGTAAGCTCTGACTGAGAATTACGCATTACTCGATTACCATATCTCTTCTATCTTCCTCTCTCTCTCTCTCTCCTACTTTCGTTCCATATCTATATCCATACCGTAGTGATATATATCGTCCTCTGTAGATGATAAGCAAAGTCCGACGTGATCAAAAGATTTAAACAAAATAATAGCCCCAATCAAGTCCCCGTGTTTGTTGCGCGCTCTATTCGAAAGAGCTGCTGCAACTCAACTCGCTTCCGCATGGTCATCGTCTACAAGACATACCCGCCAGCATCAACGCAAGTCCACTCCCTGGCTCCCCGGCCATCCTCCAACTCGACGCACCACCAAAGCGCACCCTTGGCCTTATCCACTTGACCACTCTCCTCATAAGCTCTAGCTAGTGTGAACCACGCCTCCGAGTTGTTCCATCCGGTGCCTAACTTGGTCAAGCCCGAGAGCAATCCATATGCGCGATCCCTTGCCGCCAGTCGGTCGTGAAGTGGCAGCGAGGTCGCCTTATGCGGTGGTGGGAGGTCCGGAGCACCATTTGGCGTACTCTTCAACTTGAGTGCAGCCATACCGTTTTCCAGGTTTTCCTCCTCCTTTTCCACCTTGCTTTCTACTTCCCTTGTACCGAGACCGAGAGGCTGTGATGGCAGTTCGGGGAACTTGCTGGCTGCCTGTAATGGTGTGGAGATATCGCCAAGTATGCTTTCTTCCAGGTTGAAACTCGGCACAACAGGTAGCGGGAGGAGCTTCTCCGAGTAAATATCCAAAAGGATGTCGGAAAGCCCAACGATGGTGACAGCGTGGTCGGGGAAGTGCGTCAACGCGGTCTCAAAATCCGCTCGCGCCTCGTAAGGCTTCCCGCATCCCACAGACAAATATCCCTTCTGTTGAAAAATATTAGCACGATGATTTGCTTCTCCACAATGACAAACCCAGATTATCTCACCTCTGCCCAGACATCAGCATAAAGCTCTTCCGTGCTCTTGGTCTCTCCCCAACCAGCCTCCCGCAGAGACACGTCTCCAGTCGTATCGTTCAGGATCTCGGCCTCCAATGCCTGCACAATGTTCTGTGCCTCAGTGCATGCTTGTTGTGCATCGGCGACGAGGCCAGCCCTCCGGTAAAATCCGGCGATGGTCAGCCAGACCTTGATGAGGATGGCCTTCCGTTTCCTCTTGCTATGCTCCTGCGAAAAGTGAATTACCGGGAGCAAAGAGCCGTAAACCTCGGCAAGAACCGAAGCCTCACCGTCGTTGTAGTCCTCATTGGAATCAAACGAGTCGACTCGTTGTACCATATCTGTAGAAGGCTCTTCAGGAGCCGGAGCAGCCACCGCAACATCCTTGCCAGCGTAATCTGCCAAACTCCCGTTGACAGGCATCGGAGGAGGTGCTTCTGCGACTCCTACGCTTCCGCTACGAGATTTCCTACGCAAGCTGTGCCTCCTCCCAGACCCACTCCTGCTGAGGCTATGGGATTTTCGTTTCGACTGCGCATTCTCGTCGTTTGTGACTTGGATCGCTGGCGCTCCGGGAGCCTGAGGTACAGGCGGGATCCCGGTCAGGTTCTTGTCGTGACTCCCGAAAATGCTTTGCCTCATCCCACGGCCAGATCGTACTGACCGGCTACCGAATACACTTGCTCTTCTGTTTCGGTTTTGTTCCTTGGTCACTGCTGTGACCGCCGTCCTGGGAGGTTCTGGCTTTGTTAGTTCCGTCTTTTGATCTAGATCACCGAACAATCTAGTGAACAGCGTGAGTAGCTCCGAGCTGGCATTCACAGCAACTGTTGGCCCTTCAACGAGCTCCAGAATAGCCAGTTGAGTCATCTTAATCTCGAGAAGGCTCTCTTTTTCGAAATCGTCCATCTCGTCGACAATGCCATTGCTAGAATAGCCACCATCCTCAACACCAGCCTCATTGAGATGCTCACTCCGATAGCCGCCGTTCAGGCCCCTGGTTCCGAAGAGGATAAATGGATCCTTGAACTGCTCCATAGCTCCTTCGCAGGCTCGAGCTGCCATGACATAGTCTTGTTGTGCACTAAGCATCAGCGCCAGCAGATGCCAAAGGGGGATGAGCGATCGCTCTCGCCAGCAGGGTCCTCTGTAAAGCTCCTGACTCTCATCGATATCAACATCTTCCAAGAGCGCCGTCTTGACCAGGTTGATAGCATAATGAAGATTCCGCTGCTCAGCCAGAAGAGTGCCAAGGGCGAAAACGCCCCTTACGTCCACGCCCAAACCGAGCTCAGGGGACAGGGATTTGGACAGGCAGTGAACAGCTTTTTGCTGGAAGTGCGTCCGAGACTCTGATTCGTATGTCATCCGCGCCCATTGCGCGTTAGCAAGGCCAGCGGCCTGGTATGTCAGGGCTAGCGCGCGAGGGGGCAACGATTCTGCAGTCGTGAGAACCAAGTGTCCGTCTTTCGCGGCGTTCAAATTCTCCTCTGCACCCAATTCGCCATTTGCTAGCCTTTCAAGCAGATTCTCCAATTGCAGCCCCAGGTGGTAGGCCTTTTCAGCCGCATCTCTACCGCCAAATCGACAGAGGGCAGCGATACACGCAGCGATAGTTTCGAGCATGGTCGCATCATCGTCCAAGCCAGGTTCAGGATGCCCAGTCTTGGCAACTCTTGCTTTCCCCTTCTTAATGATGTCCAAATAGGAATCGAAAGCCGCAAAAGCCAGGTCGAACTCGGCCACGGCAAGGTGAACTGTAAAGAGGTGCCGCAAAACGGATGTCGAATGATATGTCTTTGTTGCAGCGCCATACAAGGTGTCGAGTGTTCCGTGGCTAAGGGTGTCTCTTCCGCCCTTGCCGAGATCCTGCTCCTTCCATCCGTGACCGTTCAGAATGATCCAATTCTGCATGACACGATCAACAAACTGCTCGACCTCTGTTCTTTGCTCGTCGGCCCTTGGGAACTTTGTCTCGGTATATAGCAGCCCCTGGAGAATGATCTCCGCCTTCTTCAGTTCGGCGCGCAACTGGCTCCTAGCGGACGAATCATTGCTGGGCTCGGAGTAGCCCGTCGGAAACGGGAGGTCCCGTTGTAGGAGCTCGGAGAGCACATGATAATATTCGGACCACACCTTCCGCCTAGGCACAGAGCCTCGAAACCCATAACCTCCAGCCAGTGGTTGCCCCTTGGCGCTCGCCCAGTACTTGTTCCACGTTCGAAAGCTAGCAAGACAGTTGGGGTCGGAAAGGAGCTCGTCGTTTTCGCGAATCGCTTGGCTTGCCAGCATGCAGTATTCGGTCAGGAAGAGTTCGGCCCAGTACCGTAGCTGGTGGCGGGCCAGTTTGGTGGTCCAAACGCTGCTGAGGGACGGTAGAGCGGCTTCGAATGCACCCATGGCCATATCTCGCTGCCCATCGCGTGCCAGGCAGTTCGCCCGAAGGTAAGCTGACTTCAAGGCGCAGACCTTGGTCCATTCGGAGAGGGCATCCAAGTTGTCGCACTGCGGGTACTCGAGGTCGAAGTTCTTGGGGAGTCGAACCAAGGCGATAGGGTAGTCCTTCATGACCCAATGCAGCCATCCTAGGCAAACCTTGGCCTGGAAACTTTCTTGGGGATGCTGAGTTTCATTCTCGATGGCGGTGATGAGGTTTGGTATATGGCCTGCCACCTCGATACCCACGGCAGGCCCTCCTGCAGTACTCGGTCGATCGCTGTCCTGTGGCGCGGCCTTCTGGCAAGCTCTCGTGATGGCCAACTCGATTTCGGCGGTCAGGGTGAGACCTAATGGAGACGAAAGTCAGTTTCCAAGCTCAGAAACAACATTATATCCGTGGTGAGTGGTAAAAGGCATACATGTTCGGTCAGGCGCATGCTTCCGCACCTTGCGGACCAGCTCGGGGACAGCATCCCAGTTCTCTTCGCAACGAGCATCGTCGAGCTGTTGGATATAATTCGCCGCTTTTATCGCGTCGGGCTAGAGTTGTATAAGTGAAATCAGCAAGCTGCCTAGGCTAGAGAAGTGGGAAAGGCGAAGGGGACGCTGGGGAAAGGAAGAGGTGGAAGGCCAAGGCAAAGGCGGGTGGGTGTAATGTGAAGAAGGGTCACTTACCATGTTGCCTGGTCTACAAAAGAGCACGTACTACGAAGACTTGTCGAGACGAGGCATGTGATCTGAGTATATTCTCAGCAGATTATATAGAATGTCCTGTAGTTTCGGTAGTAGCAGCAAGGTAGTGGTAGTAGGTTCAGGTTCGTCTGGTTGCTATGTCGGGTTCCTGTTTCGTAGTTTGGAGAAAAGGAGTGGAGGGGATGGATGGGCCTTGTAGGTTGATGTCAGGTACCCGGACGTCCTGGCGCTGGCGACAAGCCCACCTCCAGGTGGACGAAGTGGAAGTGGACGTGGCGGCGTCATGGGCCCAGCGTAGCGGACACCCGGACGGCAGGAGCCACGGCACCAAGGTGCTTTTACCGCCTGGGAAGAGCAGCTCCCGACCCCTATAAAAGGGGTTCTTTCAGGGCTCAGACACAGCACTGGTCTGGACCCCGGCCCTACAAGTGCTCATTTAGCAGGTGGGTCAGGGGCATCATTACGTAGCGGTAATTTAGTAGTGTAATTACCGGTATGGTCCCCATGTACAAGACTGTTGCTGTGACGACTCGGACCATGCGATAAGACTGAATTTTGCCTGCCGGAGCTAAAAGTAAAGAAAAAAAGTTATCGATATGGGAATGGCAACGGACTGCGAGCTGTAAACTGTCCATCATGAGGACCGAACGTCTTGATATTTTCTAAGAAAATCATTGGGTTTCGTTCTTGGACCACTTGTCCATTGAATTGATTTTGTAGATTCACGAAAATTGAGTTCTGTTGTTGAGAAGCTGGGTTCAAAAACCAGCCGCACGTGTGAATCTTCAAAATCTCACTACTCAAAAAAAGAACTTGGACCTTTTTGACTCGAACAACACAGCAACCTTCTTCAACACCAACACGCCACTTAACTACCTATTTGTGTTAAGTGTTATTTACAAAATGGCAATCCCACCACCAGACCTTCGCGTTCTTTGCCGCAGACTCGCATCGACACCAGTTGATGATCTTCCTCACATCTGCCCCCTCCTCGTCAGCCATGTGCTTTGTTGCGGAGAGGCCCTGTCCGCCGTGCCAGAGACCAAGGCCAAGGACAAGTCCTCGGAAACCGCCACGCTTGTTCACAGATTGAGAACTCATATCACCACACTTCTTACTGGCAAGAGTGCGTCCGGCCGTTTTGCCGCCGTTTCCCTGGTTAAGGCTGTCCTTGATGTTGGAGGATGGGAGAGCTTGAGGGCTTCAGACGCATGGATCAGGGGCTTGATCAGCATTTTGGGAGTAAGAATCCCCAATTAAACATTTGAAAATAACGGACATGGCATGCTAATATCATCTTAGAAACCTGATCCTTTGGTGTCCAAGGAGCTATGTGTCATCACCTTGACCAAGATCTACTCTCTCCTCCAGGGCTACCAGACACTGGTCAGAGAGATGGCCACGCCCACTCTCCCCAGCTTCATCACTTCCATGCTCAACATCGTCAAGCCGCCTGCGTCGAGCAAGGCCGCCAAGGTCCCCACGTCCTTTGTCGATACCGTTGCCGTCTCTCTCGCCAAGATTGTGGCCTTGTATCCTACCACCACAAGGCCCTTTAACGCCCAGATCCGGGGCGCCTTCAAGATTTACGTCGCTCCTACCATGTCTGATGTCGCCACCGTTCCCCAGAGCCTGCGAGAGAGCGCTCGCTCGCTGCTTGTCGTGCTTCACTACACAGCGCCCAAGAACGGTAGCAGCGACGAGTGGGCGAAGGGCATCAAGTCCTATATTAAAGAGGCCCACGCCACCGCCGACCAAGTCTTACGTGCCGTTCGGGAATCCTGGGAATCCACCGCCGGCTACAGAGTGGACACAGTCCGTACCGATGGCGAGCCGTCCGGAGGAGGCAACGAGACCGACTCCCTCCCTACCTGGACCGGTGTCACTGCTGGTTCTGAGAGACTCAACGGCCTCGTGGGTCAGCTCATCGGGTACCTCAGGGTGCCCACTAAGGCCCCTGTCACCGTTCCCGTCGGAGAGCTCCTCGACCTCGCCTCGCGCATCACCCTCATCACGCTCCCCAAGCCTACCACCGGCGAAGACACCATCGAAACCAACCCGGCCATCAGCCGTGACGAGAAGGCCGAGCTCTGGAGCGTCCTTCCCGAAGTCCACATGGCCATTCTCAAGCTACACACCGTCCTCCTCCGTCGCCTGGCCGCCAACGCCCTGCCGCTGGCCACCGACATCCTCGACCAGATGGTCCGCGTCTTCACCTCCGGGCGCCACATCCCCGCCATCCGCGAGACAGTCTACGTCCTTGCCAAGGACCTTCTCGAGATCTCCGGCCCCGGTCTCCTTAAACTCACCGTTGACTCCATGGCTCCCATCATCCAGTCCACCTGCCAGGATATCCTCCGTGCCACGGGCCACTATGACTCGCCCGTCAAGGCCGACAGCAGCAGCACCACCATGAACCGCAACCCCAACCCCAAGAAACCCACCGCCGGCAAGAACGGCGCCGGCATCATGAAGCCCCAGGCCCAGTCCTCCGGCAACGCAGACGCCTATCTCACCTCTTCCAGCACCTCCTCTTCTGCCGACCCGGCCACCAATCCCCTCTTCGCCGCCGCCCTCTCCCTCCTCCCCCTCTTCCTCTCCCGTCTCCCGCAGCGCCACCTCTCCCCCCGAAGCCCGTGGTCTCGTCGACCGCACTGCCATCCTAGCCAATAGCAAGGCCGCGATGCTCGCCAGCGTGCTGAACCCGTACAAGGACACTCGCGGTCGGTACTACCCCACCATCCTGCCCTTCTTGGTCAGGCAGTTCCCTGCCGACCAGGAGGTGGAAGTGTTGCGGACGAATCTCATGAGAGTCGGTGCTGGCGTGAGCCAGCAGGTTGCTACCAGCTGGGATCCGGCGGAGGATATTGATGATTTGGTTGCTGCTGCGGCGGGCAACAAGGACGACGAGGACGAGAATGACGACGACGAGGAGATGGTGGATGCGGATGCGGATGAGGCGGACGCTGATAAGGAGGCGGATGCCCAGCTTGCTGCTGAGAATCAAACGGCACAGAAGAGCAAGGCCGCCGCTGCTGCTAAAGGGGCTTGGGGTGCTAATGCGGAAAAGGACGCTGCTGAGGAGGTTAGCAGCAAACCGAACCCGTTTGCCACCGTCCCTGTTGACACCCCTGAGTCGAGAACCGCACGCGCTGCGATGAAGAAGCGTAAAGTTGAAGAGGAGGCCGCGAATCCTCCTAAGAGAGTTACCAGGAGTTCGAGGAGAAAGACTCTTGAGGTGGAAGACGAGGCGTCTGTCGTGACTACTACCGCTAAGATTGTGGAGGAGGTTGTGGAGGAGGTCGCTACGCCCGCTGAGGCCCCGGCCCCGGCGAAACCCGTTATAGCTGTGATGGAACAGAAGGAGGGTGAGGATGATGGTGAGGATAGTGATAGTGGGGAGAGTGTCCAGATCGACATGTCGCTTGAGGACAGTGAGGATGAGGAGGACGAAGAGTAGATTTGATACCTTTTTGAGAATTTGGATGGTAAAATAAAAGTACTTGTATAGATAGAGGTTTTCTCAGGAAAAGATGATCTGTTTGTCCCTATCTACTCTCGGTCTCAAGCCCAAAACCCACCTACCTCTATCTGAAAGATCCTGTATAGAACCAGTCCACTTCATCCAACCGAAGACAAGATATCCAGCTGAGAAATGTATGCCAAACTTGTAGCGAAACTTGGGAAAAGCAAGCGTGGTCAACTTCAACGCCAGCCGGGTATAGAATGAAATGCGTGCCTCGAAACTGATTTTCCACCAGCCTGATTCTATGTCTAGAAGCAAAACCAGAAAGTCGGTGCTGGGATGGTATCTTAATCACGCAACCAAGCCCTCCTCTTCTCCTCCTTCTTTGCCCTTCTCTTTTCCTTGAACGCCTTCAGCTCCTGCTTAGTTGGCTTCTTGCCCGACCTTTCCGCCTTGAGACTTCGGCCGTCGTGCATATTCGCCGCCGCATCCACATCAAAGTAGGCATTCAGCTGCCTTTTGCTCTTGGCCTCGTCCGAGTGGCGCTCTACGTTCTGTTCCGGCGCTTGCCACTGCCCTGTCGCACGGTTGAAGTAGCCGGCGCTGGCTAACTCGGCACCGGCAGCGGTGGGGTCCAAGCCGGCAAGAGGGTTGGTGGCGGCAGCGGCAGCTTCGGCAGCAGCGCGAGCGTTGACGGCATACCACGCGTTCTCGTCGTAGTCGCCGTGGATGGCGGGGTTGTAGCCGCCGGCGACGGAGATGGGGTTGCTGATGATTGTTGGTTCTGCATCGGGAGGAACGACCACCGGCGCTACCACTGCTGGCACTGCTGCCGCGGTTGGAATTCGTGGATTCTCCTTTTGCCATACGCCAGAGAAGCGGTTGTAGAACCAGTAAGACGAGTCGTTGGGGTTCCAATGGTATTCCCAGCCGTCGTCTTCTGGTGCGGGCGCCGGCTCGGCGGGTAGCGGAGGTGCAGATGAGGACGATTCGCCCTTGTCTGTCTGACCCGGGAGAGGCTCTTTGGGAAGGGGAGGGGCGCTTTCGTCGATTTCGCCGGGTTCGGCGCTCTCGTCCCGATCTGATTGGGATGGCGATGGCGACGACGACGACTCGTGATGGCCTTGTGACGAAGCTTGACCGTCTGGAGACTCGGATTTCGACTTTGGCACTGGACCGTCCTCCCGCTCTTGGTCTTTCCGGTCTTCTTCAACTGGTTGAGGGTTCGATTCCTCTACCGTTTCATTGCTTTCAAGAACTTGTTCGGCGGTGGCCGGGGCCTCTGTTGTTGTTGTTGCGACCTCCTCTTGTGCGCCATCGGCAACCTCTGTGACCTTTGTTCCATCTTCTGTACGCTCCTCCTGCACAACTTCTTGCGCGGCAGCGGAATCATTTGGAGGTGGTGTGGACATGGCGGTCTATGGGTTGTGTTTGGTAATTTAACTGCCGAGTTAGATCTTGTCAATGAAACGCCGACCAGTTTGCGTGTAGTAGATTTAAAGCGAGTATATGCATTTCCTGACGGTTTATTCAGTTGCCTTACTGTGCCGGAGAAAGAAAGATTACTGCAGACGGAGGAAGAGTTGAAGGGCGCTGTGTTGTACCAGGTAGGAGTGCAGAGGCAACTCAAGCTGATTGCGTTAAACAATGGAGTGTGACTTTGATATGGTTCAGTTTGGCGATTCACGTCTTGCCGCTGAGCCTACGTGATGTTGATTTGGAGATGATGTTTTGGAAGGGAAGCTGAGAGTCTGCAGTGCCGTTCGGAGGGCGCCATCGTACCTGCACCCAAGAGCTGAATGCCGGCGGCAATCGAAGCTGCAGCTGTCTGTGCGTGCTTGAGCAGTTGGCAAGCAGCTGTTATCTGTCTCGTCTTGGGGCCTTGGCGTTTGCAGGGGCGTCCTGCATGGTCCGTGCCAAGGTAAGATGGGTCACGGTGTCTTGGATGTGGATCGGGACCCATTGATGCTCGTTAAGCTTAAACCGAAGTGTTCCATCTCTTCTCTTCCCTTTGACTTGATCAGTTCCCTTCAGTCTTCTAACTCATCTTTTACGATTGTTAAAATGTTGACCCTGTCAAGTAACACGGGTCTTCAATTCCTGACATGCGATTGGAGATGTGGCCTGTGACATTGACATGAATGATCATCTTCCAAAGACCGACCATTTATTCAGCCAGGTGTCACTGTCAGCGTCTTTCTCGTTGCCCCCTTGCAGCCGAGCAGATCAGTTCAAGTGCAGCCTCCAATCGGAATGTCAACATCTCCGCCACGAAACTCTTAAACAACAAAAAGAAGATGTCTCTCCTTCACTCCCAACTCATCAGCATAGGCCGGCACCAGATATCTCATCTCCCTCTAACGAACAGCGCCGAGTATCTGACAAGTGTGTGCTAGTGTTGACAGGCAGGGAATGATAGACTTCGCGATAGTATCATCGCATCGAAGCCGGTGCGGTGGGCGACCTCTCGGATCATATACAAGCCTCTTCCCTCGGATCTTGCCGTGGTTGCAACTAAATAAGCGTAACCTGGTAATAAAACCAGGAAGTGGTTCCTAGAGTTGGGGCTCGGCGGCGCAAGCGTCGTGAGTTTATATTGTCTTCCGACCCGGTCGTCTTCCCCTCTTCACCCATCTACTGGCCGTACCATCGTTGCCTCTTTACCCGGATAGTAAAACCTATCAACTGCACACATGTGCTATTTGGCAAAATGCTGATCCAGGCATCCTGAACCTTGGACCTTGGACCTTGGACTGTGGAGAAGAGGAGGTTCCATCTGTCGTTGGCCGCAGCTTGCTCAGCCTACTCGCCTTTCGTTTGTTCCTGGCATATCTGAAAGGCCTAGGCAAACATGGCTAGGAAGAGTGGGATGGTACCAGAAAAGATGGATTCAATACTCTATTCCGTGGGTCAACGACTAAAAGGCCTACTTCGATCTACCTTCTTTTTTAGCATCACCACTTCTCCGACTGCTGCTTTATTCTGGTCTAGATGGTCGACCAGCACTGACATTGGCCAATCGACCCGAAGATGGAGATGCCTCGACTGGGACTTGGTAGCACCAAAGCACAGCATCTGTAAGCTATAAACAGTACGACATCTCTTCATCCTTGATCCAGCGGTCTTCTGTGCTTAACCTACCTGACGATTCCGCCCAGGAAACATTTGGGACGTCGAACTATTCGCATTATTCACTTATTGCCTATTTATGCTACTTGGCTGGTTTTATACACAAGCGTCTACATACGAGACTAATTCGGTCCCCTGTTTTTACACTCAGCCTTTCGTGCGACCTTGTACCGGGGTCTACTCCTCGTTCTTTTCTCCTTTGCGAAAAATATCAACCTTTGTGGTTGCGTTTCACTCTACACGTGGCTACCGCTTGACTCAGATCTCGACTTTGGTTGATCGATATTCGGGTCTGGCCACTCCTCTCTCCCGTTCTAGACTCGCAAATGTTGGTGGCAGGGCTAAGCTGGACTCGAGCTAAGATGGAGAGACATCAACGGAGAGGAGAGCCTCATACGAGTTTATCCTCGCTCATCACCCTGATCGCCATCGCCGTCCCTCTGGTATCAGCAGCAGCCACTCTTACCGACGACTCAAAATGCGAATGTTACCTAACAAATGGGACGCAAGCCTCCTTCTTCGCCACCCATCGGTTTTTCGACTTCCGAAGCCTCGCTAAGAACGCCGGCGTGCCTCCCACCATCGTAAAATCTGACGACAGCGGGAGCGCGCCCGTCACTAGCGAATACTTCACGACCAAAGAATGGACCGATACATTCATGGTGCTAGGCTGGGACAACAGCCACCAGGTTCGCGAGGACGCCACCGTACTGATGGTCAACTCGCCCAACAACGTCTACATCGAGGCCAACGGCGACCGGAACCCTTCCTCCCAAACCTGGCTCACCCTGCGCACCCAACGTCTCAAGGACTTCCAAACCGCTGCCGAGATCGAGTCTCGCAGAGGGTTCCAGTACCTCTCCGTCCGCATGCTCGCCCGCACCGTCGGCGCGCCGGGCGCCATCACCGCCCTCTTCACCTACCGCGGCTCCGACCGGCTCGCGGACGTGCAGGAGTCTGATATCGAAGTGCGCACCATGGACCCGCGCAATACGATCCAGTATACCAACCAGCCGTCGTATACGGAGGAAGGCGAACAGATCGACCACGCCACCAAGAATGTCACCTTGCCTAATGGACACCCGGATTGGACCCACTGGGCTGTGCACAGGCTGGACTGGACGCCCAAGGAGACGGTCTGGTATGTGGATGGGACCGAGGTCGCAACTATCTCGTTCCAGACGCCCAGGGATCCTAGCAAGGTTATCCTGAACGCGTGGAGCGATGGTGGCGAGTGGAGCGGGAATATGACGGTTAATGAGGCGGCGTATTTGCAGATTCAGTGGTTGGATATTGTGTATAACGCTACGGATGAGGATCCGGCGAAGAAGATGAAGAGGCATGATGATGGGACAGCTACCGTATTGGGTGCAAGAAGCGGGGATGATGAGGATGAAGAGGGTGGCTGTGATGTGGTCTGCAGTATTGATGAGACGACGGAGAGGGGGAGCCGGTGATGCTGTGGAATAACGGGGGAGTGAGGATGATGGAGGTGGAGTTAGTCGCTTGGATACCCTCTTTCATGGTTCTGGGTATGTTTGTTTTCTCTTCTGGGGGGTTGTGGTAGAGAGAACGGGAGCAGAGTGGAAGTGGGTTTGTTATATAAAATGGCGTTAGGAGGCCGTACATACACACGTTCATGATATTGTATCTTTGAGTGGTCTAAGTGATGAGTGTGCCTGAGTGTTTGATCATCAAATGGAAGAACAGAAGTTTCAAGTTTGTTTGCCGAGGTCTGCCCAAGGTTGAGGAGAGTCTGGGGCATTATATATATGAGACACAGTTCACCGGTTTGTTGACTAGTACAAATGGTCAACCGGCCAACGTTATTTTCCGATCGGCCATGTCCGTCTTTATATCAAACCATCATCTTACCTAATTATCCACATGACAGCATCTTCTACAACGCCTTCGGTTATTGGCAAACATGCGCGCAATTGACTCCTGTATCACAATTTCGGTTCTCGCGTTGATGTTCATATACGTATCAAACGGGGAACAAAACAGAAGGGTATCAAGCATGATATCCTATAGCACCGTGAAGCAACGAATGTACAAACATACTACCTAATTGAAGAGCCAGCAAAAAAGAACAAAAAAAATCTTAAGGCAAAGGATTCCGGGCCATGGTTATTGATTTTTCAAGCATAACCAGTAGGCAGCAGAATGCTGTAAGCCACACAGTTAACTTCAATCCATGATCTCAAAAGACCATGCACTTCCCGTCTCTAACAACCTCGCACCATGGTTAACAGCAAATCCTTTTCATCAAAAGTCCAGTTAAACATTTTCCCATCAATCATTCAAAGCCCACCACATACATAACGGACCAAACTTACCACGAGGATGGTTCGTTTTGAAGGCGACGAAACTCCGCTTTCGCATTGAGATATAATGCTTCAAGTAAAGTGGCTTTAATATATCTAGCTGTTTAGACCTCTGAGGGGGTTGCTGCACGCTTCGCTCTTTCAAGCATTTTATTTCAAAGCATATTGAGTGAAGACAAGTACCGTACATTGAGATCCGGCATTCGATCTCAAAACTTGAACTACCGGCCTCGAAATTGCATATGTGGATCACTCACTTCGGTCAATTTAAGAGTGTTCCTTGGAAGTCCGGAATTTGAGAACCATGGTTCTGGCTTCGGAGGTCTGATCTTGCGGGGAAATCACTTGTTGAAACAACTGAAGGACAAGACTCGATCTGGATAAGCAGTGCATGAGGTTCAATATGTTGGCTGGTTAATGTACGAAACACTGACTGCTTCTACTTGCCTCAAGAGGCAACTATGACCATGAGTCATTGCAGAAGATCTTCAACTCGCGACTTCCCTGCCAGTTCCAACCACTGCCTGCAACCCGGCACTTCCCCTGCTTGAACGCCTGCCATCGTCAGCTACCCGTCCACGCCATCCGTAGGTATCTACAACAGCTTCGTACAGAATGTGGAAGCGAAGCTAACGCACCTATCAGTGAGACACCACTTGAGTATCTACTTCTTGTGTCCTAATAGAAAGTGCGTGGTCCGCGTATACTGCATGCAACACGTTAAGTGAAGTATAATTTATAGTTCCATAGGATACTATATGATTGGAGCATCCGTGGTTCCGATAGGCGGGCGGAAGATGAAACATCCAAGCACACGGGGGTAATCAAGATGAGGCAGGCACCTTGGACTGGCTGTCCGGTTAGAGCCCAAAGTCAAAACCACCATGACCTCCATCACCACCAAAATGTCTTACTTCTTGACCGCCCGTTGCTGGGTTGGGTCTCACAAAGAAAAGGCTTGGCGATATATTGGTAGTTTTCCCTCCCGCAGCCGGAGGTAGGGAGGGGGAGCTGTTTTATGGTGGGACACTGGGTTTGATGTTTTCGGCGTCTCCTGTGATGTGGTTAGCTGGAATGTATCTCCAGGTCGTCAGCTCACTCAGAGAATCCAACTGGGTAAAGGAAAGCTCTTGATGGCTGGCTGGCCTATGTCTTGGCGTCGAAGACTATAAGACCTATTGGTGGGGAGTGTCTGTTGTATAATGGCCATTCGCTTTCTGACTGACTGTTGTCATTATCCTATAGCTACGCAGTAAGATGACGCCAGTTAAGGCGAGGCGTAACCCTTGGCTACCCTCTTTGGTTTTCTGTTTTCTCCCGCTTCCCGGAATGAAAGGCTGCTGGCAAAGAAAGCATGAGGCGAACGGAATACCAAGTAGGTAAAAACCCGCCAAGCTGGGTAAACGCTTGTTGTTGTTCACGGATCTGAGAACAGGACTTGGGGTTTGGGATACAGATTCTCAAACCGGTCACCGCTCGGAGACAAGATATGCAGTGCATTGTTGCGCAGCATGGCCATTCGATCATACATAAAGCCATAGCCTTGTCAGTTATGTAGCAGAGTGCGGTATGTTCAGGGACAACTATAAAATAGGACAGGAAAACAAGACCTGACCCAAGTGCTTGCCCTGCCGTTTTTCGTATTCCGAACAGGCCTGTGATCATTAGAAGTAAATTGGCCTGGGGTTGTCGAGGAGACGTCGACGTGTTGCGTCCAGCTTCGGACACAATTGGACATAGCCACCAGTCAGACGATGACTGGCCGCTTGATGCGTATATAACCACGAGTGCCGGGGGTGCTGTAGGGCGCCCAACGACCAAAGCCGACGCCGCAGGGGAATAACCCCCCCCCCCCCCCCCACAAAAAAAAAGAAACTAAATAAGGGTTCAACTTTATTGACTTCCTTTTGCGGAGGAAGATCCGCAGTTGCTATTGATAAGATATTTTCCCAAATCGACCTCGTCAAACCTTAAGGGTTGGACTTGCCGGAGAGTTTTTTTTTCTTCCCTCTCTCTCTTTCCCAATATTCTCATATCGAAGGATTGGTCTATCCGCTTACCTGATGTAGTGTATGTATTCACCGTTCCTTTGACGAGAGACCTTATTCAGCACTTCACTTCAGCGCTTCAATGCTTCGGGCGGCACAGATCAATCAGGCTTTGTGTGTAACCACGGAGATACCGTCATAGAAACCGAACTCGGCGGGAAAATCGGTTTTGGGGTTTGCAGCCACCTGGAAATTCCCATGCTTTCTGGGCCACATACATAAGGTATCTCCATGTCGCGTCCAAGGAAAGAGTAAGAGCCGGGCAGCGTGCGGGCTTGCCTCAGAATTGGGGATTTTTCCTGAAAAGAATCATACAGCTTGCGGTGTTGCCTTCGCCTCCTGGAGCATCATGTATGTAGCCGTAGTGAAATGACATTTTTTGCTGCGGATCACGGATTTGATTTTTTTCCCCGGATTTTCCCTTGGTACCACAATACCTGCATAAGCTGGAAGAAGCACAACAGTGGTGTGTAAGCACGTAAGCTGCACAATTGACACCCATTCCCGACCTCATTCACCTTGACAGCCTTGGCGCGCGCCAAGACTTAGTTGAGATTGTCAGCTTTGAAACGAAAAGTGCAAGATTTCATTCACTCGTATCTCCACCGAATGGAGAGATACGAAAAAAACGATTGCGGACAGGAAATCAGCGTACTCAGAACTATCACCGTACATATCTCAGTGCAGCTGAAGTTTTTGAAATTCGTCTTTCGTTTCGAAGCTCCTTTTACCAAAAAGTTGGAGTTGTGACAAACTCAACGAAGTCTTGGCGACTGTCAAGGTGTTTGAGTTCGGGAACACATACCTACCTGATCCTACTAATCAACGCATAAAGACTCCCATTTGGGGAAAATAATTCGCAAAGCCCGTGGTCTTGCAAAGGGTTTGCTTATACATGTGCACTGCGGAAGAAACCCACATACCTAACTAACGCCTTTGCGCAATGCTCGAATAAAGACTGCCATTTGGGGAAAACAATTCGCAAAAAGTCCGTGGTCCTGCAAAGGTTCTGCTCAAACATGTCACTACATACTAAGACTCACATGTACGGGGTACGACGGAGATAGTCGTGGTTTCGAGAAGGTGTTGAGGAAAACCGGACGGAAACAGCTTCTTCGGCTCGTCAATCCACCAACGCCCGACGATGCTAAGCTCGAATTGTCACAAAACAACGGGGTATCAAGATTGCCGACCGCACGCTAATAAAAGCACGAACTCACTGACAACTCAATAGATTCTCGGCCCAGTCGATAAAAGGAAGGTTACCTACCTTGTCAAGGACACTTGCCCAACAGTTGCCCCTGGATAGCGTATCATTGCCGGGTTTGCGGGGCGTGCGCGGAGCGTTCCGAGTGACCTGCCTTCCTCTTTTTACCCAAACGGCCAAAACCCCTTGGTGGGGCAATTGATGATGCGATAAGAAAGGTGCCGTGGTGAGGGGACGGATTTGGAGCTGCATGGGGCAGAGGAAAAGCTGAAGAGATAATGAACTTGACGGACAGAACATGGAGTTTCTGGAATGAGTTTCACTCAGCTCACCATACCTATGAGCTGCGACAGTTTAATCTGCTGCTATGGGTTCGAGCAATTCGACTTTCATCGAAAAGCAAAGACATGGGAGCGTCGAGAATCCGCTTTGTGGCGATGGGATCATATCATATGCTTTTTCATTCAACTTCCCCTCTCTTTGTTTCATTCAATCGGAAGGAGCAAGAAGGAGACGGGATCCACTTGAGCTCTCCCCGCCTTTTTTTCATTGAAGGCTCCACCTCGGCGACGGGTCTCGACCCCATCATTTCCTGCGGCCTCCGCCCCGGCGTGTGGGTTGCCATCAAGGTGGTTCCGTTCAGTGTACGTAAGACGGCTCCGCAGACTCACCGCAAATAACATACTTGGTTTTCGGGTCGGTCGCCGGGCCCGGTTTGAAGCGGGCCCCGACAGGATTTGGTGGGTGAGGGGTTGTTGGCCGCCGTGGTAAACGGGTGATGACCGAGCCCGACTCGGTGAAATTGGGTTGTCGTGTATGTCTGTGTGGATAGAGAATTAATTAATTGAGCGGCAATTGATCAATGAATTGAGTGC